TTAGTTGCAATGATTCTAACACGTAGGATTAATAATACTCAACTTGGATGGCCTTGTTGGTGTTTGCCGCTCTCCTCATTTGACTAGAATTATCAGAATTAAATTCATTCCTGATTACTAATATATATGAACAACTGTTTTCCACCAATATATGAAGGAAAAGGAAAAAAAAAAAAAGAAGGAAAGAAGTTCAATACGTACTACCCTGCATGCGTTTTCCTTGATATGTTAGATTAATCTATATTAGCTTAACTTGTTGATCAAGTGGAGATTTTTATGCTATTTTGTTTTTTTAACGAAAGAATCAGAGAGTAGTTTAATTGGTGATAAGTATATGTGTTTAGAATCTAGCAGGTGTTAGTATTATGTACTTAATGACCAAATGCCAACCAATTGAAAGCTTTTTATCACTATTTTAGTGTATCGATGGAGACCCCCAGAAGGTCATTTTCACCATCTCTTTGGAGTCTATTTAAATTGTGTATCGCCATTAAGATGATGTGATCTTGGATAATTGTGTGAGATGGTCGAAGATTAGCCTCAATTATTTCCAGCCTATATCTTTCCCTCTCAATACAAACTTTTGAATTTTCTTAAAATTATTAGATTTGGCAAAAAAAAAAAAAAAAAGAAAAAAAAACCTTTAGCGCTAAGCATAAGTAAATAATTTGTTACAAGACTTTGCTTCCGTAAAAAGTTCGTCCATATTCGATGGAGAAAAGTTTAAGTGCAATATGTGTTCATTTATAAAAGTTAATTATACGGGTTCAAAACTGTTTATTCCCAAACATTAACAATTGATACCGTCAAATTAAATATGTTCTATGATATGATGGACAGACTAAATAATTCAGCTGTGTAGAAATTATTGTTTGTTCTAGATGTTAGTTTCTTCATGTTTTATTGTCAATTTGACTATTATCATCAAGAATTTTTTTTTTTTTTTTTTTTGTCGTATAAGCCACTATTCTCATTGGAAATAATTGTTGAACCCTGCCTCCACAAAGAACTTTGTTCACTCTGAGGAGTTACCGGGGAATAGGGGCATTTCATTTTTCACAATTGCCCAATCCTCAAAACTGCTTTTTTCAGTGGAAACATGCGGCAACAACTGGATTTTTGTGCAATTGTTGGTTGATTTTGAGTTATTATAGCGTGACGGTATTAGGATTTAGGACTATTAAAATAGATTAGAGAGAAAAAATATTTTTAATGCTACATACTAAACAAATTCAAAGTGAATAACTAACAATGATCATAATATTTGTACATTACCATTTTATTATCACTAACTCAAACCAACCAAAAGAACTCTGTTATTGGACAAATTTCAAGGCAAGATTATTAAAATGTGACCGGATTTATAAGTGGTAAAACTAAAAAAGATTAGGTTAAAAATTTGAGAACTCCAAACAAACACCATAATTCTACTGCTAGTCTTTTGGACAAACTTTGCCCCTTTATCGTTGGCAAATTATAACCAGTACATACTATACCCAATTCGATTCTGATCAGTCAGATTTTACACCCGGAAAAAAAAAAAAAGAAAAGAAGATGAATATCATGCAATGCAAACTTGTAAAGCGTTGTGAACGAGATTTAAACCCAAAAAAAAAAAAAAATGACCCAAGACAACCGGACTCTTTTTTAATTAAGGTCAAAAAAAGAATGAACACGTTGCCGAATCCGGGTCGTTATCAGTGGATATTTTGCTGGAGGAGGCCATCATCGATTAGCATTTAAAGGTGCCGAAGAATAACGGCATAATGCCAAAGAACCTTTTTAATCAATTGGCCCCTGCCTTTACGTTTGGACTGGCGCGAGCTAGCTATGTAATAAGTCCGATCGATATTAGGAAGGAAAGGGATATGGATTTATTAGTACAACTTTTTGCCCCAAAACCTTTTTTTTTTTTTGGTTTGGTTTGGTTCGGCCAAATTTGACCGTAGAAATTGTGTGCCTCATGTGCTGGAACCCTTTGGCCCCCGGGGTACCCTTTGCCGACGTCTCCGCCACTTCCACCACGCGGACATCTAAAAGACTAAAGACTCTGCATATTCGTTCTTGTTATGTTATTCGTGTGGTTTGAATTTTGGGGCAAAAAAAACTTACCAAAACTTTCCGCCCAACCAAAAAAAAAAAAAAACAAAAAACTTCATCAAATCAAATCAAGTGGTGGCTTTCATCACTACTTACCAAAATTCATGTCAACAATATCATGAACCGACCCACTCTTCAAAGACTATTGTTTTGCCTTTTACCAGCAGAAACTAATGATTCCAGGAACATCACCCCCGAATCTGCCTTTTTTTTTTTTTGGGAGGGTTTAGAGGGTCTCCATTGGATTGATGAAGTTAATAAAAACGAATGGTTATAGTGGATGATGATTAGGTTCAATGATGAAATTATTGTAACACTAACTAATACTCCCTCCGTCCCATAATTATTGTCCAGTTTTAATTTTTATTTTTAGTTAAAATTGTACTAAAAGTGAAATCTCAAACTGGACAATAATTTTGGGACAGAGGGAGTATAAATTTTTCGTTCTACCAAAGTTTGCAAAGGTCCAGAATGCGCTTATCGGGTCATTTTTGGAATCAAAAAGTTAGCCTAATATTAAAAAATCATCGACTAATCATTGTAATTAGATTAACCCACACTAAAATAATTCAGAGTTCCCGGCGGGAAAACCTACCCCCAACCCCAACCAACCATAGTGCCAAAATCACCTGAAAACCACCACAATAAACCACCCCAACCAACACCAAAAATGCACCAAACAATTCTCCATGAGGTACAGGCGCAACCACTAGTTTATTGTGGACTTGTGGTGCGATTTAGTATATTTATTTTTGGTGTACATGTATCGCCGAAAGTATGTTGTGCACGCCACAAAACAAATGACCAAATTCTGCAACCATTTCTGGTAAATGTTTATATTTCAGAATGTGGGAATTCTGTAACACACTCAATAACGATGAAGCGCGCCAGCACAAATTATATCATTTACGAAATTTTTTTCTTTGCCGTCTCACCAAAAGAGTTTTATTTGTTATATAATAATAGTAACGTATGCATAACTTATTTCAAGATGAAAGAAGTATATGAATACAAATTTGTGAGCATGTTTTGAATTTGTTTTATATGCAGTTACTAGATGTATATATGTATTTTGTCCCACCCTTGTAGATTTTCTAATTACTCCATTTGCCCCAAAAACGAAAAAAAAAAAAGTCCATATCAAGTTTTGAGATTTGTATTACTTTTAATACAAATTTAAAAATTCAACATGGACTATTTTCCTTAATATCTTAATACCTTTTCATGGGGTAATGCTACAAATTAAAATGCTAAAATTAATAGAATTCTTAAATCGTGTCTCTATAAGGAATAAAGGGTATATAAATCAACAAGCATGCACATAGATTCAACATTTACGTGAGACTAAAAGTTGAAAAGAAGGACAAAATAAAAAAATAAAAAAAAAATTGCTCAAAGGATGATTTTGAAAGTGATAAAACGGTGATATTTGCATATAGCCTGCACTTTTCAAAACCAAATAGTCATAATTTTTTTTTTTAATACACATTACACGTACTTATTAACCTATTACAATTTACATATGTCCGGATGTTACGTCTAATCTCAACTCAGAACTCCCAATCTCTCATCAGTGTAAATAATGTTAATACAAAGAGTCGAGTTAATGAACCAAAAGATCAGATACTGTTGTATTAATGAAACATGGAAGTTAATATATAAAATTAACTCCTTTGAGAAACCGAAACCGAAACAAGAAGTTTCACATAATTGAAGGATCTTTTGAAGTACATCAAAAGCTTTAACATTTATTAAATACAAAGTTTATACCAACAAATCTAGAATACAACGTTCACATAAAAGAATAAAAAATGAAACAAACTTTTTTTTTAAAAAAAAAAAAGAAGAAAAAGAAAAACTGGGAGGGCAATCAATTATTATTATTACTCTGTTTGAAGTAGTAAAATAATTGTACAAGAGGTTACGTAAAGTTCACAAAACCTTCGAGAGAAGTCACAGGTCTGGCTCTGGATAATCGAGGACTGGCTGAATAATAGGGACCCTCTCTCCTTTGCTTTCCATTATAGGGCGGGAGGAGTGATGACTCATCAGACCATAATTTCAGTGCTCAGTTCTTTATGTCCTTCAAACAAATAAAAAATAAAAAAATAAAAAATTTAGTGCCAGCCCTTCTGCAGCCTCTGATCAATCTACTCTTAGATTTATTATAGCCTAATAATAATAATAATTTCTTTTGTTTTCCCTACGAATCTTCTCTGATGAGGAACACTATCATGCTCTCGCCTTTATTCAATTCATGTTTTTCTACGGTGGTCCAAAATTATGTTCTGAATTTCTCAAGAGTAACTTCATTTGATTAAAAAAATCCGTTTGAATTCCGTGACTTTTTTTTTCCTTCTTTATTTTGATGTGAGTTCAAAAAGATAAACAAAAATGACAATCGAGAGAAAAAGTGAGATTCCCAAATAAATGGAGACGTGTAGTTTAATTTCCAATCCATCCCTTTTAATAATTTTGTCCAACAATTTGAGTCTGATCGAGCTTCTTTTTTTTTTTTCTTCTTCTTCTTCTCAGGAAAACTGAATATTACAATTATTATTTTTTTTTGAGAATTGAAATGTTGTTTATTTTCTTGCTAGTTACTCTTGAATAGAAAATTAAGGCTTTCTTTGTTTTTTTTAGTTGATTTTTTCAGAATTAAATAATAATAACTGTCCCATTCCAACTTATCTTTTTACATTTTCAATACACATTTTTATATTCCTAACTCAAAAAACACCTAAAAACACACACTTAAAAAACGAAATAAACATACCCTAAGAGTGAGCAAAAAGGCTTAAACTGCTGCACATTAGTTTTGTTGGAAGATGGATGTACATAGACATATTATTTCTAAAAAAGTGAAAATGCAATAACTTTCCTAAGAATCTAATCATACTTTGGCTTTAATCTTACATGTTTCTTGGAATAATTAGTACTACGTGGCACCAATGCAGAAATCATAAAGGGTAGAGGTCTCATCAAATTTGTGGCTCTTTCCTACTAATATATTGTACGTATACCTTCTATACAGAAAATTTAATCAAGTGAAAGGTTCACCAACAATTGCTAAAAATGATAATCTTCAGGCGTACAACTGTAGTATATATGTTTTGGTGATCATAAATATGGAAATTGAATACGAGTAAGTAATAATTGTTTGTGTGTATCTGGACGGCAGTAATAATTATGGAAACAGCCCAGAAATTAGGGTCTCAGCGCAGTAGCGTATAGCTCAATCGGAGTAAGTCTTTGGCTCTCTCTTTTACGTTCTGCGTTTACTTTGAGAAGAAAACATTTTTATTTTTTTTTTTAAAAAAAAATCCAAGTCCAGTCTAATCAGCACACACTCACATACTATTACTTACTCTCTCCCCAACACGTCAACATCACCCACTTCAATGCCATAGCTCCACGTCACTGTCCTTGACTTCTCACGTCACTCCCTTCCGGCGTCCAGCCTGGCAAGAAACCCCCCGCTTCCCCGTCCCTACTTCTACCCAATTCCTCCCTTCCACGTGGCACAATCCGTCTTCTTCCTCTACAGCTGTCAATGTACCTTCAACCTTTGGAGGCAGTTTCGGATTCGGACCTATATATAAAGACCCTCCATTTCCTCCCTCTCTTTCAATCTCATCCTAATCCAAACCTTCTCTTTCTATAATCTTTCTTCCTTCCTCTGTTTCCACGTGATAATCTTTCTTACCAGGGATTACAACCTCGTACTCTTCCTTCCGACCATGGCTACGGCTTCTCGCTCTTGTTTCTTGCTGTTTTTAATCGCGTTCTCTGCTTTTGCCGCTGAACCCATTTCAGCCGTCTTGGTTAAACAACAGCCTCTGGTTCTCAAGTATCATAAAGGGCCTCTCTTGAAAGGCAATGTCCTAATCAACCTTATCTGGTACGGCAAGTTTACCCCCGCCGAACGCTCCGTAATCGTCGATTTCCTCAGCTCCCTTAACTCCGCCAGGACGGCGGCGCCCTCCGTCGCCGCCTGGTGGCAGACCACCGAGAAATACAAGGGCGGCGGTGCGACGAAGGTTGTTTTGGGGAAACAAATTCTGGACGAGAATTATTCCCTTGGCAAATCGTTGACGAATTCGCAGCTGGTGTATTTGGCGGCCAAAGGCGGCCACGCTGCCGGGGCGATCAACGTTGTTCTGACCGCCAAGGATGTGTACGTGGCCGGTTTCTGCTCCAGGTGTGGAACCCACGGGTCGATTACCCGTCCGGTTCGGATGGCTTACGCTTGGGTCGGTAACTCCGAGTCCCAGTGCCCGGGTCAGTGTGCTTGGCCTTTCCACCAGCCCATTTACGGCCCACAGACGCGGCCTCTGGTTGCTCCCAACGGCGTTGGAGTTGACGGAATGATCATCAATTTGGCTACGGTTTTGGCCGGAGCCTTTACCAACCCGTACAACAGCGGGTACTTCCAGGGCCCGGCAACCGCGCCGCTTGAGGCTGTCTCCGCTTGTACCGGAATGTTCGGGTCCGGATCCTACCCGGGATATCCGGGTAAGTTGCTGGTGGACAAGACCACCGGAGCTAGCTTCAATGCGTATGGAGTGAGCAACCGGAAATTCTGCCTGCCGGCGATATGGGACCCGGAAACTTCAGCTTGTTCGACTCTGGTTTGAATTGAAGCCTTAAGAATTATGGAATACAGAATACTACTTTTCAGAATGTTTATGATGATGATGACCTTGAAGCGGGGAATTATCAGGTGTTTAAAAAATGGGGTACGTAGTTTTGTGTAAATACACGGCGCAGACAAAAAAAGGGATTTCGGAAATCGGCAGGCAGGGTGGTGGCCGGTGGGTTTGCGGGGGGCAAGGCCTGGGTTTGTCGTTTTGTGTGATCGTGTATGTATATTCGGTAGCTTTCTTTGCTGTTATTACCACTATTATAAGTTCCTAAGAAAAAAAAAAAACGTGAAAATTGTAATAGTAGAAGATATATTCAATTATGACGATGATAAGAATAATGTAAGATCAATACTTTCTTCCCTCTTAAGAGACGTGGGTTGTTGATTAAAATTTAATCTTCCTTTATGAAAAAGTTTATAGTGTATAAAATACAAGTAATTTGGGGACTTAATGAGTTTGTTGAGGCTAAAGGTGACGAGCTAATTAAGTAGGAGTACGACTTGATTACTATCAAGCAAACCAAATTTGTGCATGATAAGGCCAAAGGACGGATGGCATTATTGGGTGATTTGGACCCGGTTGGGATTAAACTAATTCAAAAATGGTGAATCGGATTCGTTCTTATCCTCTCCGGAGCAGCTGCAGCAGAAATGTAATGATCTCATCTCATGATTATTTGTTTACATGGTCCCTCCCAACTCTTCTCTTTACGTTGGTTTTGAATACGAGTTTATATATTTGTACGGGTTTGGCAGTTCGAATTTTGAACCAGTGGGGGACTGGAGTTTGTACTTTGTAGGCTTTAAAGAATTTGTCAGAGGGTTCACTTTTTATCCATGCAAACTAATAGTGAAGCGGAGGGTAAAAATCGGGAGAATTTTCTTTTTTGGTCTTAATACAAGCTATTTGTGATTCCGTCATGGTAATTCATTCATACTTTTCTTCTGAAAGAGAAAAATTCAATACATTTATTGAAAATCAGCCAAATCTAATTGTTACAGGAAACTTGATGGTGTCGACCAAATTTGAAACTAACTTATCATCATCGAGTAATGACGTTTCGTATATGTGTCATACAACATTGTAATGACATTTCATGTCAATTATCATCAACTTGTACTAATTGACAGTATCGGCGATTGATTTGTCCCGCAGTTTTGCCACTCATTTATCGATTATACATTCACATATACAATCACCCAAGCCGATATGTCGCGTAAATATCATACAATCGGACAGCTTAATTTTGTCCCAATCAACCCACAATTTTCTTTGTTTTCTTACGGCTTTTGGTACCTTTCTTATGCCTGGGGTTGGCTAGCATTTTTGGCTACCTTTTGGTTCGAGTCCTGATTTTCAAGAATCACAGATTTTTATGAGGATCTTTTATCAACTTTCTCAATATATTTTTTTTTGAAGGAAACTTTCTCAATTAAATTACACAATATCCCTTATCTTTAACGAAAAAGTTTCACAGTTTGCATGCGCACTAGCACAGAACACGGTGATGAGGATGTCGATTTCAACCCCAACCCCAAGACCCCAAATTGTGAGCCTAGCTAAACGATAAGTTAAATAAAGTTAACATGTATTTAAATAATTTAATGTTGTCCTTAATGTTTTCTAATGTCTTGAGTTAAACTAGGTACAAAGCTGTCATCTGGTTCATTGTTTTCTAACATAGGATTAAACAAATCCCACTTGACTATGGTTAAACGTCATCATAGGGAGAAAAAATTCGCCATTAGTATCCAGATGGACTCTGGTTTGTGGTATTCCTTTCCGAAACTGTTACTACTACTAGTAGTAGTATTTTGAAAGCTCTCATTTTGCTTGATTTCGTCAAAACTCTTGTTGGCCATTTCGAGCCCTAATCTCGTGGTTATAAACTTCACCCTTCCAATATTCCACTGATTGATATTAACCTATTGAGTGAAGGAACTGGTACAAGCCCACAAGACAACAAGGAAGTAGGAAAGAGCTCTATTCAGATCTCTGTGTTGTGTTTTATTTACTTATCTTTTTGGTTGGATATTTATGGGTTGACGTGTCCCTTTTTTCATGGTTTCGGGATTTGGTGTGACATCTAGAATGAGTACATTGCCTCAATTCCGTAGGGCAATAAATTGAGGGAGTACAAGTCTGCAAGTAGTAAGAGCCTTATCCATATAAGTGAAAAGAAGTAAAGGACGTGAAACAAAAGTGATAATAGGACCCCATAGGAGTACAAAAACTCAAGATAAAATGCAATCAGGGCACAAAGGCTCATACGTGATATGTCATGATCCTCGAATGAATGAAATCTAGCATCACAAGCAAAAAGAAAAGGGCCAGAGGGTAGATTTCAGTTCCCTACAAGTTCAAAAAAAAAAAAAAAAATCACCAAGAAAATGAGAGTATTTGTACTGTGGAAAACCAAGGCTCAGAAAACGCAACAGATTATTATATGATGTACTGATTTGATTTGAAGATGTAATCCGGTGATAAAATGGCAAACAGCTTAACAAATGATAGTTTAGATTGATGGTGCAGGGATCAAAAGCCTGATTTAGTAAACAAGAACTCTTTGGCAATAACATTGTTGCTAAAAAGGCAAATTTGCAGCAAAGGCGTTTAGACATAAGTGCATCACATCATCTTAAATTTGCAACCCGGGTATATTACATTACAAGCTGTATTAACTAATTCGAGATTTCAGAACCTGGATAATGACTACTTCTGCTGGATTATGTCAAGCACACAGAAACCTCTATGCTTAATCAAGCACAGGCAACTAACAAGTCTGGAGGGTTGATGATGACAAATTCAAAATAGAGGGCTTGTTCTGTGCCTTCTTTTCCTCAGCCGCTCTGCTATGAGAAAGGCGAGCTCAAGCGATTGAGAAGCGTTAAGACGTGGGTCACAATGTGTGTGATATCGTGAGCTCAAATCATTGTAGGTAACTGTTTGAGAGCCTCCAATGCATTCTGTCACATTCTGTCCAGTCATTTCCAGGTGTACACCTCCAGGATAGCTCCCTTCTTGATCATGCACATCAAAGAAAGCTCTCAACTCAGCCTGCAAGGTGCGATGCAGAGATAAAGGAGTTTGCAACAGAACCATACAGAAACAGAAAATAATACTTTAACATCCAAATATCATCTCTACTAGGCCGTTCTATATCCAGGCTATTCTTTAGAAACAATTTTTGAATTAAGTAATGGACTAATAAAAAAACATATGCATTTCCTACTAAATCACCAGAGCACTGACTGGAAACAGGTTTAATACTCAGCAGTGTTGCAGGTATAACCCTTAGCAGCGCTGTAGAAGCAAAATGTCTTACGATGAAAGTATGAAAACAATAGCAGGTAGTGAAATAAGTGTTTACCCTGATTGAATCAAAAGAACGGGTTTTTAGTCCACAAGGAGCTTTAATTGTGTTCCCATGCATCGGGTCACTAACCCAAGTGACAATCTGCCCTGCCCCGCGCACTGCCCTGATAAGATGAGGCAACTTCACCCTCATGTTTTCTGCCCCCATTCTGGTTATCACTGTGATTCTGCCAGGTTTATTCTGCGGATTCAGAAGATCAATGAGCTTAACCAGCTCATTTGGATCCATTTTGTCACTCACCTGTCAAAGCCACCACGTTATTGACCATGGTGAGTGTTTTGGGATAAATTGACGATCTTATAAGCAATATAGGCATGCTCACATTCTGAAGAATCACGATCTATATCAAATGGTCATCCGCGATTAAACTCAACCTTTCTAAAAAATTATGCAAATGCATTATAATTCAGAAGCCACTCTTCTTTGACCCAACAGAAAAGTAATCTTTGGAACGTTTCAAGTTTATCACTGATCTAAACATGGACAACAGATAACTTTCTGGAACCAAATACCAATATTTTAAATTAAAGGAACTACATTTAGCTCACCTTGATGCCAAGAGGGTTGGCAAGTCCTCTCAGAAATTCAACATGGGCACCATCCAACTGCCTAGTGCGTTCACCTACCCAGATCATGTGCGCAGAGCAGTCATAATAAAGACCAGTAGTTGAGTCTTCCCTTGTGAGCGCTTGCTCATAAGGCAAATGCAAGCACTCATGTGAAGTCCAGAAGTCAGTTGTAGACATGATGGGATGACTGTCCGAAAGGCCAGCAGCACTCATGAAGCCAAGGGCCTCGTCGACTCGGTGAGCCAACTCCCGGTACCTTTCATACAAAAACATTAACATCAATAATCAACAACAACAACAACAACATACCCAGTATATTCCCAACTCGGTTCGGGTCTGGGGGGTCAAGATGTACGCAGCCTTACCCATGTATTTCAATACAGAGAGGCTGTTTAAGTAGTACGACCCAAGATGCATTGGTGCATTGATATATTGATTTCCGGCAACTTCACCAAATTAAGAAGCGTCGGAATTTAAATGAGCCATTTTGATCTAATCCATTATTAGCCCAAAGCTGAAAGAATTGTCAATAATGACTCTTACAGCTCCATTTGCAATGGATAACATTAACATCAATAATCAAATAGAAATATTCAGATGCAAAGGACATCAATAAATCATTCAGGCATTACTATTAGTACACTTAACAAACCTATCACCCTGCTCACTATCCTCAGTGAAGTCAAGATTCCACTGGGAAACCCTTTGCATGGCAGCATATCCTCCAGTAGCGAATGCCCTTAGCAGGTTCAATGTCGAAACAGATTGAGCATAGGCTCTGATCAGCCTGTGAGGATCTGGAATCCTAGATTTTTCATCAAAAGCATCCCCATTCACATTGTCCCCTCTATAGCTAGGCAGCTTCACTCCATCCCGCTCTTCAAATTGGTCAGATCTTGGTTTGGCAAATTGGCCTGCCATCCTGCCAACCTATATCGAAAAAGTTTTAACTATAATTTAACAGCTAAATCTAAACTGAAGGGAAAAAACTCTATCTGACCAAAGACCACTCTCTTCCATACAGAAAAAAATATCAATAATGGTACTCTCACAACATTAGGCAGCATATAGTTAAATTCACTTTGCATAATCGAATTCAAACCCAATGAAATGTATATCAGAGGCTTTCGAAAACAATATATAACAGTGACTAGCAATTTCTAAGAGCAAAGAGAAAAACAAGACACAAGGAACCGAATAATTTAATTATTAACCATTCTTAGTTGTGTAATTGAAGATATCATAAGAAGAATAACAGAGAGATTCTAATCATGCCAATAGTCCTCGTGCGTTCTGATTAAAAAAAAAAACAGAGTTATCATGGGGAACCACATCTAGATCAGATGAGCAAGCAACTCGAAGAACAAAGGTAAAGACTAGAGAGCGCAAAACCTTAATGACGGGCATTTGACCACCAAACATGAGGACAACACCCATCTGTAAAATGACTCTGAAGGTGTCCCTAATGTTATTGGCATTGAATTCTTTGAAGCTCTCCGCACAATCACCGCCTTGCAACAAGAAAGCATTCCCAAGTGCGGCCTGTCCAAGCTTTTCTTCAAGGCGGCGAGACTCGCCAGCAAAGACAATGGGAGGGAACGATTCAAGGGTCTTCAACACGGACTCAAGCTCCAGTTTATCGGGGTACTCGGGGAGCTGAAAGGCCTTCTTGGATTTCCAGCTGTCGGGGCTCCAACCCTTTTGTGCCGGTGGGGTTGTGGCCACAGCGGAAATGGGCTTGGCTTTACTTCTCCTACGATTAGAAGAAGGGCTGCGGGGGAAAGGAGAGGATATGAAAATGGTGGGTTTGGCGGCATGGTGGTGGTATGTTTTGGTGATGGCTGTGTTGCCGGAACCAGCCGTACCGATGATGGTGGCATTTGTCAGCGCCATCGGGGGTTGGGTTGAGTTTTCAGTCAGTGACGGAAAACCAGAACGTGTCAGAACAACAAGATACTATTACAGGAAGGCGAAACAATAAAATAAAGGTATTAGTGTGATCGTGTTGATAAGCTCATGAGTGCCGCCAACAAAATATGATAGAGATGATTTTTTCATATTGACCTTTTTTTTCTTTTTGTGGAAAATATGAAGAAGGCGTGATCGTATAAGAGAAGGCGCATTTTGCATTACTAGACCAGATATTTTTGGCCCATACCGACTGACGACTGTGATTCATGAAGGCTAGGTTGAAATTCCTGATAAGTTCAAATATATCTTCAAAATTTCAGGTGAAACTCTATTTAACTTCCAATAGTGGCCTCTTTTAATTGTTAGACAGACAAAGAATAGAGGATGTTCAGCTTCAGTTTTGTCAGTTCATTAGCTCTCTGCCGAGGAAGATTTGTTTAAGGTATGTGAAATCAAAATCTGGATAAAGGAACACTAAACACAACTTATGCCGCCTTCTCTTTTCACAACCAAGGTAGCGGGAATAGAAACATATGTTTCAAGACATCTCAAGGCTACACAACACAGCACAACCAAATGAAAAAACAATTATCGAACCTGGCCTTAAACGACCTAACAAGCCTCAAACATGAACATCAATCCACAAAGAACAAAGAACGGTAATTACAATATTGACCAACTTCATCCAGCAACTAACTTTGGCATAAAAAAATTACAGGAATCGAATGATACTTGAACATTCCCCCCAAACCACCCTCATCCCTCCACCTCGAAAACAAATGGAATCCCTTCCAAGATAGTTTAGGAGCAAACTCCACTCCTAGTGTATGGTCTCAGAAATAAGGGCTGTAACGCATAGGCATTCTGAACCTTGGTACCTTCCTGAAACAAGGAATCTACCAATTTCAGAACATAAAAAGAGGAAAAAATGCCATAGAGCAGCAGACATAATCCAATAAGGAAAGGGCAAAAACAGCTAACAAAGCATATTCCAACAAATGAACATACCCAAATCCATAAGGAGAATACATAACAGGAGCCATAAAAGGTGCTCTGCCTCGAAAGCCAGGATTGGGGCCGGCGCGCCGGGGGCGAAATGGCTTCATGCCAGGAACATTGGTCCGTTTAGCGGATACCTGGAAAGGCATCAGACGATGGTTATCAAACTAGCCCATAGTTGAAAGGGGAAAAACAACTCAAGCTAGCCCTTAATCTAAAGGGGAAATAAGCATAAAGAGTGAGTACTCATACAAAGACATAAAGGAAGGGTTCTTATATTTGAGATTGTAGTTCATAAAGTAACAGGGCAGAAACTTTCTGTTGGCTTACTTTTAACTGGCGTCCATGAAGCTCAGACTCATTGAGAAGAAGAGCCTCTTGCACAGCTTCTACTTCAAGAAATTCAACATAAGCATAACCCTTCGGTTGGCCAAATTTATTAGTTCGAATGGTTACCCTATTGACAGTTCCACATGACTGAAAATGCTGCTGTACTTCCTCAGGGGTGCATGAGTAATCCACCTACAAAGCATGTTTAGCCTTCTTACTGGGTTCACATGAAAAAATCATTCAGAAAATCAAGCAACTCATGTTTGTCTCTCAACTAAAGTAGAACAAAGTTTAAAATAAGAAGAATATCCTGCTAAGGAAACATCTTGAACTAAATCTCAGGTGATGCCTCTTAAAACCACCTTATCAACAGTTCAATCCATTCGTAAGAGTAGTGTATTCTTGGGAAATGTTGCTATGCCTGAGCTATTTAACCAACTCTATTCAACCACCGGACACCAAAAATGGGAAAGTGACTATTGCACACACAGTCCAAAAGCCCCGAAGATAGAATGTCAACGTGTTTGTGACAGGTTACATTGTAAATACTACTAAAAAACATTTGCATAGATTACTGAAACTGTACATTTTAATCCAGAATAACGGGCACATTTATCCTAAGCGACATAAACAATATCCTGATATCAAAGGGAAAACGAAACAAAAGGAAAAGGGATACATCTCAAAAGAAAAGAGTGTACCAAAAATGGACAAATAGGATGCTATGTCCACCTGACACGTTCAATTCAGACAACTATTGTTCACCATCACCAAAACGATAGCAAACTCAAAATTTTAATCATTAGAGAACATAAGAGAGTGTGGGAATCACAAGATAGCAAGCAATAAGCGTTCAATTAAAAGGAGACTTCACCGAAACAAACAAATTCTGTAGAAGAGTCTCACATTGCCAACAAAGACTGATCGGGAATCCACTTCTTCCCTATTTGCTTGGCTTGCTGCAGCTGCAGCAGGATCTGTTTGGAGTAGAAGATGAAAATCACAATGCAGCAGCCGAGTTGAACAAGTAAAATGCATAAGATCAGTTTTATCTTTTCTGAAAGGATTTAGGCAGTTTTTCAGAACAAAAAAAAAAGTAAAAAAGCAAGAATATTATGCTCAGCCCCAATGCTTACCACCACTAAAAATTATTTTTGGGAAAATTGCAATGTCATTAAGTGGGAATCGAGGTGTATCAGGATAAACCATAAAGGCACTTGAGTAGAACAGTGGTAACAAATATCCAGGCCCCATGAAACCAAAAGGCAGAAAAAGAGAAGGCCTAAATAAGAGATGGATCACAGCTTCATCAAATTTAAAGACGAGCATTTTTAACAAATTTAGGGAAGTCCAGAGGTATAGATCACAAAGCCAACAGTAATGCAACATTAAGAAATGCGCTAAAGATAGGAGAAATCTAGTTAATTTGACGCAATGCTTTGACAGGCTTACAAAACTCCGTAACTACATTTCCTCAGGCTTATTCCAAATTCACCTTCTAGGGAAAATAATTAGCTACAGATTCAGCTTAAGCCAAAATTCAAACTTTCCACATTCAAACAAAACTATCCACCGTTTTCAAATCAGATAATGTAATGAAGAAACTAAGCTTTAAAATCATTACCCAATCCAGTCTTATGAGTGACCGACCACACCAGCATCAAGAAAAACTTATAAACACCCTGTTTTCTATTTTGGCACAGCAGGCCTAGAGATTCTGTTAGGATACCACCTCATAAAATCCAAGACAGACACTAAAGAATTGACGAATTAAAGAAGAAAAACTCAAGGTAAACCACATAGATTCATCAAGAAGAAAAGGAGAAGGGGGTAAACCTTGAACTTGCCCCATCTCTTTCTCGACTTTGGCCTGCATTTCACGGAGAGCAGCCGCTTCATCTTCCATCTCCTTCAACCTCTTCTTCATGTCATCCAGCTCCTAAAAATTGATCAATTTATCATATTAATTTAACAAATTATATGAAAAATAAAATCACCCCCAATTTCGAGTGGGAATGAAAAGTTAGGGTTTCTGCAATCGAGAGAAGTGATTTAACAGGGAAGAAATTAAATCGTGAAGAAAGAATTAGAGTTGGGGAAAGAACCACGGGAGGTCCGTCCTCCGCCGCGGCCATCTCCACGTCGGCCTCCTCCATCGCGATCTCTCTCCCCCGCTTTCGCTCGTTTTCTATCTACGTCGCTCACTCTGCAATATGAGATATTTATATTTTCCGACGATGGAAAGAATACTAAATCTATTAACCCGGTAATTTCATAATTTCCTTTTCTATTTCAGGGGTTTTTTGTTATTTTATTATTATTTTTGTGTATGGGTAAATTTAGCCCAGAAGGAAAACAAATAATGGTAATTAGTGCGGTGTTGTAAACAAAAGAGAAATAAAATAAAAATTGACAGAAACCAGCAATGAATGAAATTATGATTAAATTTGAAAGCCTTATAAATCCTTTAAAGTTGATGATTTTATATTGTTTATTAATAATTGAAACAAAATATTGTTATAATAGTTTTTATACTTCCTCCATCCCAAAATTATTATCCAGTTTGAAATTTTAATTTTAATACACATTGAAGTGAAAATCCACACTGAACAATAACTTTGGGACGGATAAAGTATAAAACTAAAATTATCAGAGCTTGTATTCCTTTCTGAAGGAAAAAAAAAATTACTTGAGAAAATTAAGCACTTATTTATTTGTTGTTTGATAATAATTATAGTAGAGCAAATGTCACATCAACAACTACTACGGATTCACAAGATTATTAGATATTTATGTAATTATCACTTTTTCTTTTTCTTTTTTTAACATACACCTTGTTTACACGCTAAAATCTAAATACACTATTCAAAAGTGGAATGTTGGTCCTCCAAGTTCCAAATAATTGTAATTGTCCGGCCTCATTCTGCTAATGATTAAATCAATGGGGAATTTCCAACTGAAATTGACTCAGTTCCCACAATTTGCACACCCTGTTTTTGTTGAACTGACACCAATGCTGCTCTTATAGCAGGCTTAATCTTCTCACCAGCTCTAACAATAACAAAGAATAGAAACCAATATATGATCACCATTCCAAACAAGATCCCAAGGTCTACCCACTTTGAGTGTCCAATTTTGATCTGAAATGTGTTTATCAGGACAACTTCACCACTGATTCTTGATGGGCTGTCTCCAAGAAAATTGGGAAATGCTCGATCCAGAAATTCATTCTTGAACAAACCTTAGAATGCATATGTAAGGAAGCCACATAGTGGAGTGGGTATTTCCAAACTGGTTTGGGTAAATCGTCGGTTAACTGGAAAAATCCTCCGGTCAGCAAGGACGGACCTAGGGGGAGCAAGAGGGGTCCGTCGACCCTTGCGGCGGGCAAATTTTTTTGAAAAAATATCTTTAGATTTTTCTATATTTTTCGAAAAAAAAATTTCTAGTTGTAGTCGACCCTGCAAATATTCGATGTTGTTTCCGTCACTGCCGGTCAGTACCATCAGGCCTTGAATCCAGAACCCAGTATGATTCCCATGAGGAAATTAGGTACTAAACTTGCAATCACCATCATTAGGCTCTCCACCAACATCATACACGCGAAAAGAACGGCAACAAAGTAGAAGAAATGGTCAATCACTTTCCCAGGATCAAGTCCTTTTTGAAATCCGGTAAGAAAATACGCAATGGCCCCTAGAATTAGTGATATCAGCAGCAGGAATGGAAATGCAGATAACAGGTTTCTGACAGCAAATGCGCTCGGATCATAATGGTCGTTCAGTCTTTCTCGTTGAAACACCTGAAGAATTGTCAATTTTCATTCATAAGATTAATCAAAAAAAGGAAGCAAGAAATTTGCTCTGAAATTTGAATTCTTTGCATATGTACCTTCATTTCCTCCACAAATAAATGGAATCCACCAATGGCCATGAAAGTTAGGAAAGAGGACACGAAAATTAGGATCGACCCAGTTGCCTAAAAAGAGATGGAAACTTAAACCTTATCAATATAAAAAAGGATGTCACTCTATATATAGTCATTGGAATGATCTTTGAGGTTTCTGTTATGTTTTTTTTTTTTTTTGGGTAAAAGAGGTAAATTTCATTTCATCAAAGGGACAAACAGACATATGCACAAGGTTTCTGTTATGTTAATATTTGTAAATCGTAATTGACTAGCTGTTACCTGAACCGAAGAGGGACTAGGATCAGTAACATGGTAAATGATGGTGCCAAGAGCCAAAGCTATTGCGATATAAACAAACAGTCGCATCCAGTAGTATCCAATATCACGAAACATGTTGATGACTGATCTTTTGGTTAGAACAATGCACTGAACCATGAAACTGACCTTCTCTCTGTTCTCCTCCAATTTTTCGCCTTGCTGTCAAGATATTACATACTACAAGAAAAATGACATTTAGAGACACTCTTACAGATGGTGTTGCAGAGTAGTGCCGTAAATTTGCGTTGAACTTGCCATTGTACTGCATATTTGCGGCATAATTGTTGCACTATATAATGTGCCGCAATTTTGAGTCTTATATGCGGCATCAATTTTTTGTGACGCAAATATTTTGTGACATAATTTTGTTTTTGCTGCAAATTTGGGACTCAATTGCGTCATTCAGAGAAAATGCTACGAATTTGCTTCAAATATGCGACGTATGTTTTGTTGCCGCACCATTCTTCACGGCACTATAATTAAGTGTCATGAGTTTAGTGACACAATTTGAATATTTTAGCAATTTCGTAGCACATTTGCATAAAAAAAAAATGAGCATTCCACAAATTAGCTAAACTATTCCGTCATTTAATGAATACTACAATTTTACAACTATGATTTTGCAACAATAGTAAAAAGAAATGTCTAAGTTCCTTGTTTATTTTATCTATAATCCAAAATTGAGTGAGAATATTGTTATTTGTGACGCAGGGATCGTGCAACTAGGGATCTTGAAGATCTTGAAGTTCCTTGTAAATTAAAATTAATTTGGCTTTTCAAGATCTTGAAGCAACTAGGGATCGTGCAATATTCTTTAGTAGAAGACGAAATATTGGTGTGTTCTCTACGTCTGTTTGTGTTATGTAACATTTTTTACACACTATATTATAATTTGTATGTGTACCCAATTAATTCATCATGTGTATCATTGATATATTCATTTTGCCCCTTTGCAAAACTTAGTTTTTAAATAAAAGGAAATTAAATACACATAGACAATATTAAAAGTAATAAACAATGGTGAACAATACATGACTTACCCATAATGCATAGATACTTAAATAATGCAAAATAATAATAATAATAATAAAATTTGTGTATATACACTAATGCACATGTGAAAAACTCATTTGTTTTATTGTTAAAACTTTTTTTTATTAAAAAAGCATCAAAGTGCATGGGTTCAATTGAATTAATTAAATATTTCAAAAAGAATGTAATAGATAAGAATTATTACTTTATAGGGGTCAAAATTAAAAGGATGCGCTCAAGGATGTTATTGTAAAATATATAAGACGTACAACAAATGACCGCTTGATGTTATGACTTATTTTGAAGTTGTTATTCGTCCAGGGTATGAGTATAAATTGAAAGTGTAAAACCCCTTGGGGTTGTTGTATTGATACCTTAGGTATATATAGTACAATTACACATATATAATTACAATTGTGACCCTATCTATATATACACTAACATCCCCCCCCAATCTGAACGGGAGGTCCACGAATGTTCAGATTGTCTCAAAACTCCGTAAAAAGGACATGAGGCAAACCTTTCGTCATAATATCAGCAAACTGGCGAGAAAAAGGAACATGAACGACACGAATAGATCCTTGAGCAACCTTCCCACGAACAAAATGGATATCAATCTCAACATGCTTGGCATGCTGATTCTGAATAGGATTAGGGGACAAAAAAATAGCACTGACATTATCACAAAACACAATGGTGGCAGTAGGCAACTAAATACACAGTTCCGAAAGTAAAGAATAAATCCAGCAAACTTCAAAAACAACATTAGTGTCACGGACGGTTTTTCTTCCCCGCTCTTTCGGGTGGTTTGCTACAAAATCGGGCCGTTTCCGTAGACGGACAAGGGATGGAATGTTCTAGAGACTTGTGGAATTCTCCGGTCAAGTCTTGAAGACTCTAGAATTCTCTAGAGAGACCTAGAGCTTGCTAAAAACGTGTGAAACTGTGTGAAAACTTCTCAAGTTTGCTAGAATGGTTTGGAGGGTTCCACACACTTGTAGATATTTATGGACTTAGAATATTTTATTGTAGGAATTCTCTAGATTTCTAATATTTTAAGCCTTGTATAGAATTCTCTAGAATTCTTTAGAATTGGGGACATAGCCTATAAATACCCCATACCATTTGTAAAGCATTCAAGCTTTGAGTAAGAATTCTGAAGCATTCCTTAAGCTCTTGTGCCTACATTGTTCTTTCATTTCCAAGCCTTCTTAAGCTTTCATTTGCCTACGTTCTTAAGTTCTCTTGCATAGCTTTGCACGTTTAAGGGGCTGAGCTAGCACGTTTATCATTGGTTGTTTTAGTGCTAGTGCCGCACGGCCGTTACTTTGAAAAAGTAAGCAGTATCAGAGCTTCGGCTCGATCCTTGGTGGTGCTTATCGTCTACGCTTCTGTTTGTTGGTTTACTTTCGTGCATAAGCTATGTCCCACCCTTCAGAGGTCGCTCAAAGGTCGGAGCTTGAGGGGGATCACGTTTCACGCAAGGTAGAAAGGACTCCTCGTAGGGGAAGATGCAAAGAGAAGTTGGTCGTTAGGAAGCCGATGGTGGAACTCGAGAAATGGCTTGTTGAGCTTGTTGTGGTTGACCATCAAGACCGTTGGGATGAGCACCCCGACACGGTGGCGGGGGTTGTTGAGGCTCGCGTGGAGCGATTTGCGGAAGAATTGCAAGAGGTCATGCAACAAATGAAGGATGACATGTTCGGGACACTCAACGAGGTGATGGAACGTTGCAACAAGATGAAGGACGAAAGCCTTGCTCATGTTGCCGCCCTCCAAGACGACGTTAGCCGACTCATGGGCGAGTTGGAGGCTTCTCGGGCAGAAACGACGCGTCTTAAGGCACGGCTTGATGCCATGGCCGTGCAAAGGACAACCGGGGCCGTGGGAAAGTTCCAAGGCTTGAAGTACCCAAGCCGGACGAGTACAAGGGCAGCCATCGTTTGAGGGACCTAGAGAACTTTCTTTACAGCATGGAACGGTACTTTGGGACTATGAATATCGTTGATGACTCGGTAAGACTCTTCCAAGCCTCTCTTTATTTGAAAGATGGTGTTTTAAGTTAGTGGAAACGTATGATGAAATCCGTGGGGGACAGAGACCTGGTCTTCACCACATGGGACGATTTTAAGGAAGAGTTTAGAAACTGGTTCCTACCCGTGGATGCGGAGGACGAAGCCCGGGCCAAGCTTCGTTGTTTCACCATAAGGAAGGCCAAATCCAGGTATACGTTAAGGAGTTTTCTGGTGATGCTTGAAATCCCGGATCTCTTGCCCAAGGAGGCGTTCTTTGCTTTCATGGACGGTCTCAACCGTTGGGGCTAAACTTGAGCTATAACAGAGAGAAGTCCAAGACATTGATCGGGCATTAAAGGTGGCCGAGTCACTTGTAGAGTTCCAAAAGAAGGATAGCTCCAAGGACAAGAGTAAGAAGCCGTTCCAAGGCAAAGGTGGGGGAGACAAGAGGAAGTCTTCTACACCCGCTAAACCGGCAGCCGGTTTAGCAAGAAGACCAAGGGGGACAAGCAGAAGAAGTTCCAAGGGTGCTTCTTGTCCAGGGGAGCGCACATGGCACGAGATTGCCCGTCCTGTTTGAAGTTGGCAGCATTGGGGCAAGGGTTGTGCCAAGAAGAGGAGAAACAGGTCACTTGCATGAAACGGCTAGACACCGTGCATGCTAAGGCCGAGACTCGTCAAGGTCGTCTTTACATGGAGGCATCGTTTGCAAACGGGTCCAGATGGGGCATGCTAGACACAGGGGCCAACACAAGTTATCTCATGGAGGAGGTAGCCTGTTCGTTTGGAGTCACATAGATGCCTAGCAAAGGCCGTTTCAAGGGCGTGAACGGTAAATGGACGGGTCTTGTAGGCGAAGCAAGGGACGTGCCTCTTAAAATCGACAACTGGTCAGGTACGGCTAATTTCTCCATTGCACCTATGGATGATTACGATCTTGTGTTTGGAATGGAGTGTTTAGACCAGGTGATGCCGATTATCGTGCCTAGCAACAACACAATGGTGATCCTTCAAGGCAAGAAGCCTTGTGTTGTGAAGTTTAGGCGGGAGAACAAGATTAGCCCTTCCTAGTTGAACAAGGGGCTAAAACGGGGTGAACACACTTTTGCCACCATGGTGTTTGAGAAAGAACCATGCACGGAAGAGCCGGCAAAGGAGGAACGAATCCCGCCTCCTATAGAACGAGTCCTTGTTGAGTTCAAGGACGTGATGCCCGAGGAATTGCCCAAGGGTCTTCCACCTAGGCAAGAGATTGATCATGCCATTGAGTTTGTGGATGGGGCGAAACCGGTCGCGCAGGTGCCTTATCGTATGTCCTCTAGCGAGCTAGAGAAGCTCAAGGTGCAAATCAAGGAGCTACTTGAATCGGGTCATGCCCGGCCGTCCAAGAGTCCTTGGGGTGCACCGGCCTTGTTCTAATGCAAGAAGGACGGGATGCTATGCTTTTACATCGACTATCGGGCTTTGAACAAGCTGACCGTGAAGAACAAGTACCCGATCCCACTCATAGCAGACTTGTTTGATCGGTTGCAACGGGCAAGGATCTTTTCCAAGCTGGACTTGCAGTACCAAGTACGCATAGCACCCGGTGATGAACCGAGAATGGCCATGGTGATGAGGTATGGTCTTATGAGTTTCTTATTATGCCGTTCGGTTTAACTAATGCCCCAGTCAGGTTTTGCACTTTGATGCAACGTGTGCTAGCAGATTTCATTGATAAATATGTTGTAGTCTACTTGGACGACATTGTCATCTATAGCAATACCATAAAGGAGCATGTGGAGCATCTTAGGGCTGTTTTCCAAGTCCTTAGGGAGAACGAGCTTTATGTCAAGTAGGAGAAATGCTCCTTCGGCCTTGAAGAGGTGTCGTTCTTGGGGCACATCATCGGTGGGGGTAAAATCCGCATGAATCCGGCCAAGATCAAGGCTACCGTGGAATGGGAGGCACCCACGAAGCCAACGGAGCTGAGATCGTTCTTGGGGCTTGTTAATTACTTTAGGTGGTTCATCGAGAGGCACTTTACCATAGCCGCTCCATTGATAGATCTCTAGAAAAAGAGGCGAGCATGGTGCTAGACACTTAAGCACCAAATGGCGTTTGAAGCTTTGAAGGACGCTGTCACTCGAGAGCCGGTCTTGGCTCTTCCTGATTTTGAGAAGCCATTTGAGGTCTGTACGGACGCTTCGGACTTCGCCATTGGGGGCGTTCTCATGCAAGACTGTCACCCCATTGCCTATGAAAGCCGCAAGTTGAATGAGACCGGGAAGAGGTGGCCGACGCACAAGAAAGAGATGTTGGCCATAGTTCATTGCCTTAGAGTTTGGGAGCATTACTTGAAGGCCGCCACCCTGTTCAAGATCAAGACGGACAATCGGGCGGTGAGCTACCATCAAAGCCAACCTAAGCTTTCTAGCAAGCAAGCACATTGGTTGGACTTCTTGGCCGAGTTCAAGTACGAGCTGGAATATAGCCCAGGAAAGACTAACCACGTGGCCGACGCCCTAAGCCGAAAGGCATGCCTTACTCCAATCGTTAGCATACCCAAGGGGACATTGCTTGATTGTATCAAGAAGGGTCTTGAGCACGATCGTCAAGCCCAAAAGTTCTTGGAGCTTGTGAAGGAAGGCAAGACGACGTGGTTTTGTCTTCAAGATGAGATGCTTTATGCCAAGGGGAACCATTTATATGTGCCTGCATAGGATGGACTTAGAAGAGAGATTCTAAAGGATTGCCATGATAGCCGTCATGCTGGTCACCTAGGTACGCATCTTACACTTGCTTTAGTTCATAAACGGTTCTATTGGCCTCGCATGCGGGAAGATGTGGATACCTATGTGAGGACTTGTCTTGTTTGCCAACAAGATAAGACCGAACAAGATCACCTGCATGGTTTGTTATCACCTGCCTATTCTGGAACGCCCATGGGACAGCGTTTCAATGGACTTTATTGTGAGTTTGCCCGTTTCCGAGGGTTGCTCCAACATACTTGTTGTGGTGGATCGTTTTTCTAAGTATGCGGTCTTTATACCCGCTCCGAAGGAGTGCGGAGATAATGACCAAGCTCTTTCTTAGGCATGTGTGAAGTATTGGGGGCTTCGTACATCCATCATAAGCGATAGGGACTCAAAGTTCACCAGCCAGTTTTGGCAAGAACTCTTTCGTTTGCTTGGGACGGAGCTCAAGATGTCTACTTCTTTGCACCCGCAAACGGATGGGCTGACGGAACACATCAACGGTCTCTTGGAGGTGTACGTTAGGCACTATGAGGCAGCCAACCAGAAGGATTGGGTACATTTGCTAGACGTTACCCAATTCTCCTACAACTTGATGCGAAGCGAGAGCACAGGCAAGAGTCCGTTTGAGATTGTCCTTGGGTTCCAACCGACTACGCCTAAGGACATCCTTGGGTGCTACAAGGGCAATAGCCCTCCCGCATACGAGTTTGCTAAGGATTGGCAAGAACGGGCCGACGAGGCGAAGTCTACTTGGAAAAGTCGGCCGCGTGCATGAAAAAATGGGCAGATAAGAAACGGACTCGTCGCGAGTTTGAAGAAGGCGACCAAGTCTTGGTGAAGCTTTACGAGCAAAGACGGAGCCGTGGTCTTCACAAGGATCTCATGCGCAGGTACGAGGGTCCTTTCACCATTCTTAAGAAAGTAGGTTCAGTTGCTTATAAGTTAGAGCTACCCGAGACTTTTTCAAGGCTTCATCCGATCTTTCATGTGAGCCTACTTAAGCCATACCGCAAGGACTCGGAGGACGAAGAACGAAACGTTTCTTCAAGGGCACCAGCTAGTGTACGCGATCACGAGGAACGGACTGCGGAGGAGATCCTTTCTAAGAGGATCGTTCGGGGCAATAACGGGGCAGCAACCAAAGAATACTCCCCTGCACGAGTCACATGATGAAACGACGTTGTTTCGTCAAACTTACAGGAACTTCTAGGAAAGTTCCTGACAGAGAATCCCATCTAACTAGCTAGCATATCAAGAAGAGTGGATTTGCCAGAACCAGAAGAACCCATGATAGCCAGAAGTTGGCCGGGACGAGCAAATCTCCGGTGACCTCTCCTCCGAGGATGGATCTTCTCTGTTTCGCTCTTCCATTGGGAACGGTGACCCACAAGTCCTCCCACGTTACAAACAGACCTCCATCACCGACACCAGTACCAATGTTAACGTTAAGTAAGTCCTCTTCTTCTTTGCCTTGTTGATCTTTTTGCATTTCACTAATAATGCTTCCAGTTCCACTCTCTAACTCTAGCCCTGAAATTCTGATTCCACGGCCTTCATCAGCTTGTTCCATGGCGGTCGCAACTGGAAAGTGGGCGTCGGAGTTGCGTTTTGTGATTTTGTGAAGAGAACTTTTGCAATGCCAAATTCATAAGCTTAATACTGTATATATATTGATAGGTGCAGGTAGGGAGTGTATGTACAAATTTTCAAAGATGATTGAGTAAACTATTGTCCCATTCTACTGCAGGAAAATGAGTGTAATTTTTTTTTTGGTTAATAATGAGTGTAAATTTTAAAATTCAATAATGACCTCAAATATAATTCATCAATCATTAACCACTATTTTTTTTTTTTACAATAAGAGAGGCTATTGCCTAGATTCGTACATTTCTAGGGTATGCAACCCCTCTAACATTATGTTATAATCAAGGTCTAGTCCTTGATGACGGTAAAACAAATCTTTGCAAACTAATATGACTATGAGACGCCAAAGATGCTAACTATAAAATTCACTTTTCAGTATACATGATCAAGCTCCACCAACCAATTCCGACTCATCAACTCCGAATGCCATGTACCACTTTCATTAATCACTTTCAATATTAATTATTTGGAATGAGTCCTCGTACTAATAGTCATGCTGTACGTTCAAAAAAGTAACTATTTCTTTTTCTATTTGTGCCAGGAAAAAGAATAAATAAATTAAACGTGGTTATCTTGACATTGACAAAAAATGTATAAAACGTGGATACGTTTCACCTGATGACAATATAAAACATTGGACATCATTGACCGCTTAAATTTGGCAGAAAGTGTGTGAAGTCCTCACTCTAACTTCTGTGTTTGTGTGTGAAGTCCTGACTTAACTTCTGTGTTTTAATAGTTGACTATACAGACTGCGAGCCTGCGAGGCAAATTTTGCTACGACTCTCTCAACGACTATATAGACGGATGATTTGCATTCATTTGTTTATCGTGTGAACAAAAATACTAGTACTATGAAAACGTGATATGCAATTGTGGTTATAAGCGGATCCGTATTATTATTTTGAGATAAAATAGTAATAATTTAGAGAGTTACTCTCTAGTCATTAGAAATCCCCCATATCCTACTATACATTTTGATTTGACGTTTTTTTCTAATCTCAAAAATCCCAAAATACAAAATCCTACAAGAAATGGGCATTGGCACATTTGTTTGGAACGTTTTCTTGAATGTTGTGTCATGTTGAAAATGTATATAAAAAACTGTATTGATAATGTAAGAAAATTAAGTATAGGTGATTAATAAAGAATTCAGGAGTTTCACGATGGACATCCTGTAATATGAAAATAATAATAATAATAATAATAATAATAATAATAATAATAAATAATGAGGAGTTTTTTTGAAAAGACTAGGCAAAGAGGAATCTAAAAAAATTCCATTTGCTAAATGATCCTTTAAATAATTTCACTATCAACCCAAGAACATCCTAGCAACCACTAACAAAATAAACACAATCTCACTGTTCAACCAGCACGCTAACTAGTTCGACCTGACCTCAATTTTTGCTTTGTATTCAAATCAAAGGGGAAGTTCCAGCTGAAGTCATCCCAGTTCCAGCAATTTTCTTATCCTTCTTTAAAGGTTGAGCTGACATCAAGGCAGCCCCTGAGTTTGGCTTAACCTTCTCACCAACTCTAACAATAACAAAGAACAGGAATCGATATATGATCACCATTCCAAACAAGATCCCAAGGTCCACCCACTTTGAGTGTCCCAATCTGATCTGAAATGTATTTCTCAGGACCATTTCACCACTGATTATTGAAGGTTTTGCTCCAGGGTAATTGGGAAACGTCCTGCCTAGGAATTCATTCTTGAACAAACCTTGGAATGCATATGTGTGGAAAGCAATGTAGTAGAGTGGGTATTTCCAAACTGGTTTTGGTAAGTCGTCGGCTAACCGGAAAAATCCCCCGCTAAGCATCATCAGGCCTTGGACCCCGGCACCGACTATGATTCCCATCAGGAAATTAGGTACTAGACTTGCAATCACCATCATTAGGCTCTCAACCAACATCATACACGCGAAAAGAAGCGCAACGAAGTAGAAGAAATGATCGACTACTTTTCCAGGATCAAGCCCCCTTTGATACCCGGTCAGGAAATAAGCGATGGCGCCCGGAATCAGTGATACTAGCAACAAGAATGGAAATGCAGATAGCAGGTTGCCGATGGCGAAAGCGCCTGGATCATAATGGCCGTTCATTCTTTCTCGTTGAAACACCTGTGTAGTCATTTTTCATTCATCATATGTAAACAAAAGTCATGCACTAATTCGAAAGTACTTGAAGCAAGAATATACTAATTCGAAAGTACTTGAAGCAAGATAGTGTGAATCCTCTGTATCCGTACCTTCATTTCTTCCACAAATGAAGGGAATCCACCGATGGCCATGAAAGTTAGGAATGCTGACACGAACATTAGCATCGAACCAATAGCCTAATAAGAAATGGAAGCTAACCTTTATTACACTGATTTGGCCAAAGTTGTTTTAAGTTGCTCATTCTTGGTTTTTGTAATGTAAAATGTTTAAACATTTGTTACCTGAACTGAAGAGGGACTAGAATCAACAACATGGTAAAAAATGGTGCCAAGACCCAAAGCTATTGCTGTATAGACAGCCAGACGCATCCAATAATAGCCAATATCACGAAACATGTTTACAGATGACCTTCTAGTCAGAACAAGGCATTGATCAATGAAATTGGCCCTGTTTCGGTTCCCCTCCAACACTTCGGTTTCCTGTTGATCATCAAGATATACAACAAATGATTGGATGTTAGAAGCTAGTAACTTATAGATGGTTGAATTCCCATGAAATGTAGTACTGCATGTTTGGAATGAATATACATGTCACACTTACATTTGTACAAATTTCAGAAACCTGCTTCTGCACCTCTCTGTAACTTTGAGATGATTGGTAAGAATTTACAAGAATATTAATGGCTTCCTCCGTCGGCATTTTCCTTGTTGACCCTTCTTCAATATCCTGTATACAGCATATGTTTACATTAATAAACTCTCTTCATGGTACTGATTTACTAAAGCTTTATGTCCTGAAATTAGAAGTAAAGAACAGTTTTCATTCAACAAAAAGGAACCTACCTCATCAAAGTCCTTGTTAATAGTATTCAGGAAATGATCAGAGGGATTCTGCAGAGTAGGACAAGGAAAACCATTCGCTGCAAAAAACTGCATCAAATACATCAGTTAGTGCTAAAGGCTGTATGAATTAATACAGAATACATAAAAAGATTCGTCCTGCTAAACTCTCTCCAAATTGCGCACCTCATTTGCTGCATTGGCAGGGCCAAAATACACTGTCTTCCCAGAAGACAAAAGGCAGACATTCTGAAACAAGTTGAAAACTTCAGAACTCGGCTGATGAATCGAAGCCACAATAGTTTTCCCTCTTCTCTGTCTCGCAATTCTGCTCATTACATAGTACGCGGCGGCGCTGTCAAGCCCGCTTGTCGGTTCATCGAGGAACAGAAGCTTCGGCCGTGTAAGAATCTCAATGCAAATGCTAACTCTTCTCTTTTGGCCACCGCTGAGGCCTTTTGCTCCCCATCCTCCAATTCTGGTGTTCATTGCATCTTGCAATCCGAATTCCTTTATGACCATTTCCGCTCTTTCTTTTTTCTGTGATTTGGACATGGAACTTGAGAGCTGGAGTTGAGCCGAATAGTAAACAGCTTCCATTACAGTTAAGGTTGTGATCAAAGCATCATCTTGAGTCACATAGGCCTAATTCAATCATCGATAGATTATGGGGGGGGAAGAGATGAAAATCAGTCAAAATGTCAAGTATAAACATAGTAATAGTTACAAGTCGTAAATGAATATTTACCGATGTTCCATAAGCTAGTTGTTGTCGCCGGCCATTAATTAAAATGTCACCACTTTGCATTGTGTTCGGATGCAGCCTTCCTGTGGACAATGTAATAGTTGCCAAACGTTAAAAATTGGCAGAAAAAAATAAATATTAATGAACAAATAGCTTGCCCAATATTTTGCACAACACATACAACCAAATTCCACCATTGTCGAAAATTTCATGAAGGTTTAAGTAATAATTACTCCATATTTTCCAATTCATGACTACAAAATTTACATCATCTATTGGGACGGTAGGAATACTATAGGGAAATTAACCAAAACATGATTCAATTTCAAACAATAATTATGTAAAATTACAATTAAGTTATAACTACAACTTATAACAAATTAACTCGCTTAAAATATAGTCATTCGTCTAATGGGGATGGGTGTCAAAGAACTAATTACCTGCTAATGCATCAAGAAGAGTGGATTTGCCAGAACCAGAAGGACCCATGATAGCCAGAAGTTCACCGGGACGGGCATACCCGGTAACCCCGCCGAGGATGGGTTTTCTCGTTTTAGCTTTTCCGTCAGGAACGGTGACCCACAAGTCCTCCCACGTTATAAAAAGACCTCCACCACCAACACTAACATTGGACTGCATCATTCGGTCGTTAATATTAACGTCGTCATTAATACCAGAACTCTCTAGCTCCATGCCGGAAATTCTGACTTCGTGGTCATTATCAGCTTCCGGCGTCGGAACCACGTTATGACTCGCGGAAGCCATGCCGGATGGGGGGTACGTACGTTGGCCGGAAATTCGTTTTCTGATTGAGTGAAGAAAAAGTAAAGAAAACTTGGAATGCAAACGCTATATACAAAGGAGATATGGAATTAAATTATATATATAGAATGATAGAAATGATTAAAGTATTATGCCACTGATATCAGACAAAAAAGGAGTAGTTTTTTAAAATATCAACTTGACATCAGGTTCATTATCGCTTTCTGTACCCCAAACGAGTAATAGTTGACTCGTTGAAGTGTCAATATACTCAAAATCATCATGGTTTTGGGAAGGGAGCCTTGATGTTAAAGAAATGGTGTATGCGACAAGTACGACTATTCAAAACTTGTGCAACGCATGAAAGTCCTTTGACTCTGACTTTTCAATCCACAGGTAAGCAAGTACTAGTGGAGATTCTGCACCTTTTTTTTTTCTTTCCCTTTTTTCTTCTTAGTAGTATTCATTCATTTCACATTGTAACAGAAATAAGAAGGTTCAAGGTAAGCAGGTTCTAAAAAAGTGAAATTACAGCGGAGATTAATTTGTAATTAAGTAACAATCGAATAATTACATCTTCCCTTCCAAAACGATTGTTTTTTTGTTTATTGTACTCCCTCCATTCCATAATTATTGTCCACTTTAGATTTTTATTTCTAGTTCAAATTATACTAAAAGTGAAATATCAAATTGGACAATAATTTTGGGACAGAATGAGTACAAAATATGATAATTATTTTCAATGGACAGAGACTTAAGTTAATATAAATATATATACATATATATAATTTGAAACTAATATCTTAATTCTATTATTACTGTACTTGAATAATTTGAATTTTAAGTTACGACTTCTCTTAACTCTCATAGTCCATACATCTACTTTTTAAGGAGAAAAAAAAAAAGGAAAAAGAAGAGTATAAATCACCACTACAAAAATTGTTTCGTCGGAGGAATGACATTTCTACATTCTTGATTGTTCCGCAAAATTTAAATACTCATTTAGGCTTAGAAACCCACATAGAAATATTTGATGAAGGTTTTTGACTTTCAGTATGATCTTTAAAAATCTTGCTGGATCCATCAATCCATTTGGAATAACTTAGTTCAACTTGCCACACATCCCTTAAAATAGTTTCATCTTCAATCCGAGAAGGTGGATGTTGAGGAATTCGAGCTCGAGTATACTTATCCATAATCAGATCCGGCCCGTTAGTTATTATCAGTTCATGGGTCAACCGAGCTAGTATTAGGGAAAAATGTCGTTCTTACCCAAAACTTTGCTCTCGTCGTTAATCATACCTAACAGATTTTCAGTTAGCCAACTTTATCCTAATGTTTGAAATTTTCATCAATTTCGTCCATTCGGCTCATTTTCCGTCTAAATTAACGGATCTCCTTTAGTTTTTAATAAAATAATAAATTTAATTATAAAAATACCCCAATAATGTTTAATTAAAAATAATCCCTAAAATATATAAAAATAACATAATAGTTCCTTTTTCACTTTTTTATTTTATTTTTCTCTATTTTGTTCAATTTCTCTCAACTACTTTTAATGACCATAAAAGTCTATTATATGAGTTTTAAAAAAAATATTTATTTATTTTTAAACTCTACCGTAAAAATTAATCTTTGTATAGTTATAACCCATGATTGTATTTATAGAAGCATGTTAATTTTTTTAATAATATAGTTTAGCAATAACGACTATTTTTCTGATTTATTTTATTCTTCCTAACATAAAGATTCAAAACATTTAAATGAAACTAATATTCTACCTAAAAATAAAATATTAGCTCAAATAAAAAAAAATTTTAAAATATTTTAGTATATTACAATTTAACTCAAGAGACTATAACTTGCACTAATATAATTCATAAAAAAAATAAAATATAAAATAATTAAGACGCTATTTTTTTTATTTATTTTATTCTTCCTAACATAAAGATTAAAAACATTTAAATGAAACTGATATTCCACATAAAAATAAAATATTAGCTCAAATAAAAAAAATATTAATATATTTTAGCGTATTACAATTTAACTCAAGAGACTATAACTTGCATTAATATAATTCATAAAAAATAACTAAAATATAAAATAATTAAAACCTTAAAAAAATTCTCCAAACATAAGTTTTCCTTCTTGAATCTAAAACCTATTTTCTATCACACCAACTTATTATCATATTGTTACTCCATTCATTTATTTTAAACTGAAATCATATAGAATTAGCTAGTAAGACTTCCTCTATAGTTAGATATATTAACATCTCAAATAATTATTCAAAATGTTAAATCCTCGTATTGATAAGTATAAACATATTTTTTATAAATTATATTATGCCACGTAGTCTCTCTAGTTAAATTGTAATACACTAAACTATACTAATATATTATTTTTTATTTGAGCTAATATTTTATTTTTATGTGGAATATTAGTTTCATTTAAATGTTTTGAATCTTTATGTTAGGAAGAATAAAATAAATCAGAAAAATAGTGTCTTTATTGCTAAACTATATTGTTAAAAAAATTAACATGATTCTATAAATACAATCATGGGTTACAACTATACAAAGATTAATTTTTACGGTAGAGTTTAAAAATAAATAAATATTTTTTTAAAACTCATATAATAGACTTTTATGGTCATTAAAAGTAGTTAAGAGAAATGGAACAAAATAGAGAAAAATAAAATAAAAAAGCAAAAAGGGACTATTTTGTTATTTTTATATATTTTTGGGGTTATTTTTAATATTTTTAAAAATTACTGGGATATTTTTGTAATTAAATTTATTATTTTATTAAAAAACTAACGGAGATCCGTTAATTTGGATGGAAAATGGGCCGATTGGACAAAATTGACAAAAATTTTAAACATTAGGATAAATTTGGCTAATCAAAAATCTGTTGGGTATGATTAACGACGAGAGTAAAATTTTGAGTAGGAACGACATTTTTTCCTTAGTATTACACAAGGTAAGGATACCATTTGAAAGTAAATTCTCAATACAACAATATTCCTACGGTTTAAAGTTCTTTGGTGATTCCAACCAAATAAGAAAGATGCATCTTAGGTACCGTTTTAGTTAGCCGGCAAAAAAGTTCTCTGATTATTGTGATTTAATTTGATTGTTAGAGTGCTTATTCTAGTGTGTTCAGAACATTGTTTTTTTGGTGAATCAAGATTACCAATCGAGTTAGTTCAGATTGTGTCGAATTTTATCATTCTTGTCCTTGAAAATAATATATGCGAAGGAGATGATATTCGGAGGATATTTCAACAATATATTTGGCAAATCATCAGGCAATCAAAAAGAAAACGCCGCTTAATTACAAGTCTTTGGCACCAAACTTCACTAGGTTTTTTCACTAACATAATTCAAAACAAGAAGACACCAGAATTAAGTACACAGACTTTGATCAGCTGCCAGTTTAAGATAATACTGCAGAGATGCAGCTGACCAAATTTCTTGTTACTCCAGGGATTTCTTTGCAGCAAGTTCTCAATGCTACTCCTTTTCATGAGAAATGCCCATAGAGAAATGTTTGATAATGGGTTTGAGTTTTTCTCTAAGCTTAATGATCCCAAAAAACAGAATCCTATATGAGATAGCCATGAGCACCAAGATGGCTAGATCAGTCCATTTGGAATAACTTAGTTCAACCTGCCAAACATCCCTCAGAATTGTTTCACCATCAATCCATGAAGATGATCCTCCCATTATTCCATTGTTGGGAAATTTGAGCCCTTCAAACTCATTCTTGTACAGTCCTTGAAATCCATATCTGTGGAAGGAGATGAAATACAGAGGATATTTCCAGAGTACCTTTGGCAGATCATCGGGTAATCGGAAGAAACCTCCGCTTAACATCATCACTCCTTGCATTCCAGCACCGATTACTAGTCCCATCAGAAAATTTGGCACCAAACTGGCAACAATCATCATCAGGCCTTCCACCAACATGATGCACACAAAAAGTACCATTGTGTAGTAGACAAAACTTGCAGTTGAACGTTTTAGTCCTACAAGGTAATAGGATATTGCTCCAGGAATTGCTGCTATGAGTAACAAGAACACGAATGACGAAACAACGTTGCTGATGACAAATGCTGCAACTCCATAATGGCCATTTAATCTTTCTCGACCAAAAACCTAGAACGCAGACATTGCACTAAAAAGTTAACAGGTGGATCCAGTTGATATATTAAAGAAACAGAAGCATAGTTACAGTGATAGATCTGCTCTCACCTTCATTTCCTCCGCAAATGAGGGGAACCCTCCGATAGCCATCAAAGTTAACAGTGACACTACAAACATGATCATAGAGGCTCGCGCCTAACAGGAAAAGCAGAGGAAAAATCTTTCATTGCAAAGACTGATTTTAAATGTTAGATCAAAATATTGAAAGCCAAACTTACGTTAATGGAGCTGTAACTGTTCCCCACGTCATAAAAGACGGTACCTAAGCCAAATGCAAGGATAATGTACATAGCAAGGCGGAGCCAGTAATAGCCGAGGTCCCGATTCATGTTCAGAAATGACCTTTCTGTGAGGATAAGGCACTGTCTAAAAAAGCTGGGACGGTTCTTCGTATTCCCAATCACTCCTGATTGCTGCAATTATACAGTCAAGTGTAATAGTTATTGTTACAATGCTTTTTTTTTTTTTTTTCCAAGAATTAGTACTAAATTTAGCTTCAATATAAGGTTCATTGATAATGAAGAGCCTTACTTGTGCATTTATGCGAGCAACTTCTCCAAGGGTGAGGTTATATAAATCTGAGGATGTGTAAGATTCCACAATCTTGTCAAGTACTTCTTTTGTGTTTTGCTTTCCAGGAAGGCCTGATTCAATGTCCTAATCACAAAGCATTTAAGATGGTTTTTAATTGCTGAATGTGATATCCATAAAAGGGAGCTCAATTTAATTAGCACAGATAAATTAATACCTCATCAAAATCTGTATTGATCATCATAAGACAATGATCAGCTGGATTGATGAGATCAGGATTCGAAAAGCCAGTTGTCGCGAAAAACTGAATCAAAGCAAAGGAGTCATGAAGCCATCATTACATGTTTACTTCAGCAAAACAAAATTCAATAAATGATTGATGAAATTCATTTCAACTGACCTTATTGACTGCAAAAGTGGATCCGAAATATGCTGTCCTTCCTAACGAAAGCAGGCAAAGATTGTCGATAAGTTTGAAGATTTCGGCGCTAGGTTGATGCATGGATGCTAAAACTGTCATCCCATATTCTCTCGCGAGTTCAACAATGCGATCCACCACATAGTATGAAGCCGCGCTATCTAGTCCACTAGTTGGCTCATCAAGGAAAAGAAGCTTTGGCCTAGTCAGGATTTCGATGCAAATACTCACTCTCCTTTGCTGCCCTCCACTCAGGCCTTTACTTCCCCAACCACCAATTCTGGTATCAATGCAGCTCTGCAATCCCATCTCTTTGATAGTAGTCTCAGCTCTTTCTCTTTTCTGTGCCTTTGACATTGTGTTTGGCAGTTGAAGCTGAGCAGAGTAATACACAGCTTCTCTGGTTGTTAAAGTCCATATCAAGATGTCATCTTGAGTCACATAAGCCTAAATTACACAAGCATATATATGTAGATTATTATTAGGCTTTAATCAAATGAGAAGAAATTGTTTTCGGCTAACCGCAGCATTACATCGAACAGGTAATGTGGTGCCACAGTAACCATAATACTTCAACAGTACATAAAGACTTTGGACTACAGTGTTCTTACTGAAGTTCCATAAGCAAGCCTTTGAGTTCGACCATCAATCAGAATCTCTCCACTTTGCTTTGACTTCGAGTCCAACCTCCCTGCAGTCCATCGTTTAGGATAACATTAATGCATGCTTTGGTATATTATATACTTAGTATATCATATCAGCGACTTACAATATTATTCAAAGATTTGTTAAGGTTTTCTCTCTAGCTAGGAGAGTCTCTCTGAGCGTGTGTTTCCTCTGAAAGCAAGTCATATCGGAAATAGGATTTCACCAATGTAAGGTCCTAGGCATGCATGCAACGTTAATCTCGATTGAAATCGATGGAGACAGGAGACTTAAAAGTAATTTTCTCAAAACATGTAGTAATATTTATGGTGGAACATTTTAGACTGCGTGGTTCAAAGTTCAAACTTTTGTTCTAAAATAAGGAAACAATGCTAGTTTGATGCTCATTTTTCCTGTCGTAAACATTAATATGGAAGGAATAGTAATTAATGACGCGTTGCCTGAAATCATTTCATGCATTTGAGATCGCACCAAATGCTAGCTTATCGTCTGAAAACAGAAAACTAATCCTTTTATCACACTCTTTTAGTTGAACGAAATGAAATATTTTCCGAAGCAAAAGGGAGTGTCACGTCCAGATTGTCCTGTCTTTTGGCCAAACTTGGACCAATCCGTTACCTACACCAAACTATTGAAGAATTGAAGCCAAACCAATCCAAACCATTCAATGTTGTGTGGATTGGTCCGGTTTCACGGTTTTGCCAGAAACTTGAGTTTTTCTATTTTTGGTCCTAAAATATGGGATATGTTATTTAAGAGGGAAAAAGAAATGAACAATTAGGTTATGGAGTTTTGAACTTAGGATAGCAAGGAAGGAGACCAACTCAAATATTTTAAAGCTATGGTCAGTGAAAGCAAATTTAAATATATGCACAATTCTTAAATATTTACAACTCATAATATTATTGAGTCCGGTCCATTTTCATTATCGGTTGCCTACCATCAAAACATAAACCAAATCATTACTGTCAAGTTTTCCATTTTTCGAAACTACGGTTTCTAGTAAAATTAATAATTCGGGTCATGAAACTAAACCGTTTGACGGTTTGACCAGTTTAACTAGTTTGATTTGAACCAATCCATGAATACACCCCTACTACACCTTAAGTTGATGAACGCTCGTTTTGTATTGTATATAACAGAAAAACAAGGCAAGGGGTAGTGTACTAATTAGTACTAACCTGCTAAGGCATCAAGAAGCGTGGACTTGCCGGATCCAGAAGGACCCATGATGGCCAAGAGTTCACCGGGTCGAGCGTACCCGGTGAGGCCTCGTAGTATGGATTTACTCCCTCTTTTCCCATCTCGAACACTCACCCATAAATCATCCCACGTCAAAAAAACACCTTCCCTCTGTGCACCAAAAGGCCTGGTAGTTTCATCATTTCCTTCTCCATGATCTTCATCATCGTCATCATGAAGAACATCTTTTTCCATTTCCGTTGAAACATCAATCTCGTATTGCTTTATATTGTCGACAGCCATTTCTATGTATGTAGGTAGATAATGTATAGACTCGTACCAAAAGCGGTGAGGACAAGAAGTGAATTAAGAACTAAAGTAGGAAACTAGATTTTAAAGGACGAATATATTAGTAGATTAAGAATATACGTAGAAACTTGTACTAGCTAGTTTATATAGAGAAAGTTTTAGGAATTGTGCATATTGGTGAATAAAAGAAAATTTGGTAAAATGGAGGTGGAGTTGCATTTAATGGTCGTTCATCCATATATATACTACATGAATCTATACTCTTACTAATTGGGGAAATGCTGGATTGGTCGTACGTTGCTTTCATTCATGATGAAGGATACAGTACTACATATTATTGCTGTGCTGTCCAAATTAGTTGAAGGAAAAGGATGCAAGAAAGGAAGAATTTGATGCTGCTGAATTACTGAATTTGAATTCAAATGATTTGTTATGTGTCGGATTGCAAGCCAGTTTGGGTCATTGTATGCAAGTTCTCTCTTTTGATCGGGATGATTTTTGTACTGTCATTGAATTAGCGAGCTATAGTGTGAGGACTAATTAGAACCGTGGCATAATTCCTCCAACAATTTAAGAATCACAACGGCCAGTTCCACCATTGTATTCGGTAAAGAAGTAAAGCTCGAAAAGTTACCTCTTAAAAGAAATCTAACCGATTTAAATACTATGGATCAATTGAGATGGTAATTTTCAAAGGGAACATATAAAAATATACTCCCTCCGTCCTATAATTATTATGTAGTTTGAGTTTTCATTTCTAGTTCAAGTTGTACTAAAAGTGAAATCTCAAACTGGATAATAATTTTGGGACAAAGGGAGTATACAGGAAAATGAAAAAGATTTAAATATTGATTAGTTGTGATTATAATTTTGAAACTAAGCATATAACATACATAGGAAAAAGATGCACATATGGTCAAGCGCTTATATTGCGTTTTCTCCATGAGAATTGCTTTTTTTTTTTTGGGGGAGGGAATGGTTTTCTTGCTTAATTTTTTACATGCATATTTTATTAGATGAATCACTTCGTTGGTCAATCATATGTTTGATGTTAGATTTGCTTATGTGATATGTCTACTGCATATAACATAAGTTTATAGTTTTGAACAGACAAAATTACTCTTAATTATCAAAATTGTTACAATTTTGTGTTCTTAATTTCTATCTGTAGTTTTTTTTTTTTTTCCTTATCTCGAGACTATTTTATTCATCATGTGACCAAAATTACCAAAAGGACAATGTCATTATCAAGGTGCCATTTTTTCCGCGATGCATGTGCAAATTTGCGAGCTCTATATGCAGTATTAGTTGACCCCATTCTTGTAATATTACTGTCGTATAGTCACCGAGGAAATTCAACGCGATTTATTTTGCTTGTTGTTATTTTTTTTACATAAAACTATACTTTCCTTAATATTTGCTTTCAAAGGGTTTACAAGAATACAACCAGTACAATAAAAATTGGTTACGGCTTTCAATCTACACATCAACAAGTTTACACAGCACATCCCAAAGCCACCCAGGATATCATGTTTCCGAGCACAATATCAATATTCGTCTCAAAATAATTATATATCTCCTAAATGGTTCTAAGAAAGAGAACGATTGATGTAATACAATGGCTAGCTACCAATGAAATCTCTACAGATTCTCGCTGTAATTTCCACAATTAAAACGTGTGCCTAAAGTTACACTAAAGTTAAATTTCTCTGGACGGAGTGTCAGAGACGAACCAGTACCATGCATTTTAGGGGACAGGTGGAAGATACCTGAAGTGAAAACAATAAATCAATAGGCCGGAAAAGATGTCAGTTTTTAATCAATTGGAAAGTCTTTCTCAACACATATATGTTATTGATGTCAAATATGGAAAAATACCATAAATGTGATTTATAGATTTCGCAGCCACAAAATGTTTGGTTAAAAATTAACTTAAAACTGTTCACGAACACGTATGTGCGTTATTCTCCACACTCAGTAATCAGTATGTATGGCCCCTTCTCATCATCTACCAATGAAGGGAGTCTCAGAGAGAGTTTCTTTCAATGTACTTCTTCCTTTGTTGTTTAAAACATCTGCACATGTCAAAACTCGGATAATTCAATTCATTATACAAACTGTTTTATGATGATGAAGTAGCCGACGGAAAGGACAAGAATTCCTTCGGCCACGAATGAACGCTGATCTTGCACTTGCCGGACAGCCCATTTGATTCATGAGTTTAAGGCTTTCAATATTAATGTTTAATGCTGAAAGATTACTAACTTCTAATGTTCAAAAAGTTGTCAAGAGTTCAATTTCGGGTGGGGAACGTTAGCTGCAGATACCGAAGTTATGCTTCTTCTAAAACAGATATTGCAATGGCTGCGCAATCAGCTCGATTATTGGTGGAGTACAACTTTGTTCCCAAAGAAAGACAATTAATTACAGTAAAAATATCAAAATGTTGCTCATTGTCTTCATTTGATACCAAATGTTTAAAAATAGATTATGCGCCACTAGAAAGTTAAAGAGTGTCACCAATCGATTTTCTGTTAGGGTTCTACTAAAAAAGTAACGGTCAATGCATTTTTCATGTGAAAGACACGTGTGTTTACTAAGAGGTACTTAGTCTTTTCAAATTTTAAATTCTTAAATTTCAAAAATAAAATAAATTATTGATAAAAATATGATTTTCAGTTTATCTTTTTAGGGTTAATTTTTGATTGAGAGTCCACAAGTGAGAAACTTTATATATAATGTAATGATCGAATAAATTAGTTAATGATCCAAAACCAATAAATTACAAATGCAATAGAAAAAGAAATGATCGTAACTTTTAAATCATTAATTTAATCTTTGGTCAACGACGCTGCACAAATTATGATAAATGATACTCTTTCTAGTCCTTATTATAAGGCATTTTGGTTTTGTCTTAGGTTTCACCAAGGATGTCTTTTTAATTTTAATAAAAACTTTAAAAAAATTTCATAATAATTAAGAGAACACAACGAATGTTAAAATATATTTTTAAGATTTTTTTTTTAAATTAAAAAGACATCCTAGATTAATGTAGGACGAAATCAAAATATCTTATAATAAGGACCGAGGGAGTACAAGGTGGAAAGTCTGGGCATCGAATTTTCAGTGGTCAAGTGTAGGTATTAAGCTCATTATTTGGAATCAGAAATCCCCAAATACACTTTTTTTTTTTTTTTTTTCATGTAGGGTTGTGATTTTTCGTTTTTATTATTTTTTGGTACAAGGGTTCTGATCTTTCCACAGCTCCAAAGTACGACTAATTTACAAAAGTTACTTCCTGTCATGAGAAATCCCTCTGGAAAAACGTTTGATGATGGGTTTGAGTTTTTCTCTACTCTTAATCATTCCAAAAAATAGAATCCTGTATGAGATGGTCATGAGCACCAAGATGGCAAGATCAATCCACTTGGAGTAACTCAGTTCAACCTGCCAAACATCCCTTAAAATAGTTTCACCATCAATCCATGAAGATGATGATCCTCCCATTAGTCCAATGTTGGGAAATCTGAGCCCTTCAAACTCATTCTTGTACAGTCCTTGAAATCCATATCTGTGGAAGGAAATGAAATACAGAGGATATTTCCAGAATACCTTTGGCAAATCATTGGGTAATCGAAAGAAACCTCCGCTTAACATCATCACTCCTTGAATTCCAGCACTAATAATTAGTCCCATCAGAAAATTTGGAACCAAACTTGCAACAATCATCATAAGGCCTTCCACCAACATGATGCACACAAGAAGTACCAGAGTGAAATACACAAAGTTTTCAGTTGCCATTTTTAGTCCTACAAGGTAATAGGAAATGGCTCCAGGAATTGCAGCTATGAGTAACAAGAACAGGAATGATGAAACTACGTTGCTAATGACAAATGCAGCAACTCCATAATGGCCATTTAATCTTTCTCGGCCGAAAACCTATATGCAAACATTGCATAGAAGTTAACAGATGGTGGATCCAATTCAAATATCAAAGAAACAGAAGCATATTCACAGTGATTGATCTGCTCACCTTCATTTCCTCCACGAATGAAGGGTAACCTCCAATGGCCATCATAGTTAACAGTGACACTACAAACAAGATCACTGAGCCTCGGGCCTGAAATAAAAAGCAGACTAAAAATCTTTTCATTGCAGTGATTAATGGCAAATGTTAGATAAAAAAGTTGAAAACCACACTTACGTTAATGGAGCTGTAACTGTTTCCTACGTCATAAAAGACGGTACCTAAGCCAAATGCCAGGATGATGTACACAGCAAGGCGTAGCCAGTAATAGCCAAGATCGCGATACATGTTCAGAAATGACCTTTCTGTGAGGACAAGGCACCGTCTAAAATAGCTGGGACGGTTCTTCTTGTTCCCAATCACTGATCCTGCTGGCTACAATTAATACAGCCAAGTGTATAATTGTTGAGTATCCCACATCGGTGATGGGAGAGAGTTAATATCAATATATAAGTCTATGGGCTACTCCCCTCATTGTCAATTGGTTTTGAGGTGTAACCCCATGGGCTTCTATATGGTATTAGAGCCAGTCCGCCAAAAGTCGGACTCCAAAGCCTGATGTGATAGAACTAGTAGAGCTGAGACATGAGGCGGTGACTGGGCTGACAAGCCCAAACCAAGAAGAGACATTGGGCTTGCGGGGGAGTGTTAAGTATTCCACATCGGTGGTGGGAGAGAGTTGATATCAATATATAAGTCTATGGGCTACTCTCCTCATTGCCAGTGGGAGAGAGTTGATATCAATATATAAGTCTATGGGCTACTCTCCTCATTGCCAATTGGTTTCATTGCCAATTGGTTTTGAGGTGGAACCTCATGAGCTTCTATAATAATGGTTGTTACAATGCTTTTTCAAGAATTACTAAATTTAGCTTCAATGTAAACTTCATTGATATGGATAGCCTTACCTGTGCATTTATGCGAGCAACTTCCTCAAGGGTCAGGATGTATATATCAGATGATGAGT